TTATACTCTTGAATATGTAATATTCACTAAATTAAATTTGCTGTCGTACTATCAATCGGCCCGTTTTAAATTAAAGGCCCAAGCAATCGCTTCATTTTACTACAACTTGGAGCCTCTTTGTTCTTGAGGAAATTACATCCAATACCACAAATATTTACATAAGTACTTTTTTTAATCCAAATATACGACAATGTATAAAGTAAAAATGATAATCAATAAATATCATCGCTCTATCTTTCCAATCAAATTGAAAGCTAAAATCGCTCCCCCAAACGTGCTATATATATATATATATATTATCCACAATTATCCCAAAATCCCCGATATACCTCATCATCTTTACCGTAGTGTTTAACATACACCTAAAGGATCGATTCGAAGAAATCATATTCCAATTCATATGTTTTCATCATATCAGAAGATCTCTCTTCAAACTGCAATTTCAGCATTTTTGGGATTTTTTTTTCATTCGTATATAACCCTAATGCAGAATGTGATTATCATCTTCACAAGTCATAGTTTCGAATTATCAGAGAGTTTGTTTGACAATGTTTTTGAAAAGTCAAAAGTTATCTCTAAAACTAAGAAATTACTTTTCAATCTATATGAATAATTTTATGAAAATAATTTTTTTTGACAAAAAGTGCTTTTAGTGAAAACTGACTTGAAACAAATTTCTCACGAAGCTCTTCTACAAGAATAAGAAGCAAAAACAAAACTTTCTAGACAGACCCTAATGAACAAAACCATTTTCCACTGGTCTCTGGCCATTTCCATCAATCGCCATACACAATATTTTTCTCTTGCATAACAAGAAAACTCTAAATTTGGATTCCACAATTGTTAGAATCTTTAGAGATCTTTCTTTTACACTCTCGCCACCAGAATGAACAGTGCATGGCTGATTCTCTCTTTTAAGGTAAAAATAAAAAATTGTTAATCGTACATCTTGGCAAGTGACTAGAAATCTAAAACTATTGACCGAAGTAGAAAGAATTCTCTAGTAAACTAGTACTATCAGCAGTGGCGGATCTAGGATATTAAGTTAGCTACGACGGTCGTTGATGACTAATAAGATTATTTATTAATATTTAATTAAATAATATTTAAAAAATTTCAATCAATATATATGTTGTATACATTTGAAAATATAATTCAATACTATATGAAATAATAAGAAAAAAAATACATTTTTCAATCATACATATGCACGATCAAGTTTCAAGTTTTTTTACGAATTCAAATGAAACATTTTGGTACTTAAAGCATGATCAAATGGTAAAGACATGCTTCAATTCTAGGCGAAGGTTAACCAAAATTTTGAAAACAAGGATTTTTAAAACTAAAATTATTTTTTACCTTAAAAAAAAAAGAATATTTTTTGAACTTTTAAAAAAAAATTAAAGAACAAAACTTAGATTGTCCAAATTTAAATTTTATATAATAAATTAATAAAACATAACAATAAAAATATATATATATCATAGAGTAATAATTTGAGTCAATAAATTTTTTAAAGAATTATTTTGAAAATGAAAACTAATAATATATAATTGTTTAGTTATTATTTATTGTATTGAAAAATTAAACAAAAATGTAGAAAAGCAAAGAATTGAACCACATACCTCTAATTGCACAAAATAACCATTCTATCATTTGAGCCACACTTCTTTTTGTTGAACATTTGTACAATTATTAATTAATATTTAATTATTATTTACCGTGTTTAAAAATTGAAAGAAACAATATTGTTGAAGGTTATTGAACCTAAGAATCTCACATGGAGAGGCATCTTCTCTTCTAAATGATCTACACACAATTTCAATAAAAAATGTACAATAACATATATATACTTTTTATAAATCTTAATTAGTTTTTTTCCAGGTGGATCTAGCACGATCACCTGGGCCGCTGGATCCGCCCCTGACCATCAGCAAGACTATTTTGGGAAAATGGCCCCAAGGGATTTAACCCTATATATGAAAGTAGATAAATATTTAATGACATGTACCTACCAAGAAAGACTCATTCTTAGGGCCAGTGACAACAATGTTATTCTTCTGGAAAAATAGCCCCAAAGAAGTTAACCCTATATGAGTCTTAATTTGGGATTTCTTGAACAAAAGAGATTTCTTCTCTTTTATGTTCCATATCAAGTAATGCAACTTGCTAATGCACAGTATGCATAAAGATTGTTGGTCTACAGTCTTCAAGATTGAAACCACCAAAAAAAGGAACAAACAAACATGAAATTTTGAAACTTGTAATTAACTTATTCATACCATGATCATAGTAGAACTAGAGATAACGAGAACAGATAAAACACCAAATTACACTTCCTTCACTTCAACTGCTGGTTTTACCTCAGCATGTTCTTGAACTTCCTTAATCTCCTCCTCCTCCTCGACCACGAAAGCTTCAACTGGAAAACATCGGGACAGGCCGGTCGGAGTCTTGAAGGTGATTTTTCCGTTAGGCGGATCGTTGACATATATATCACTAAGAGTGATCCATATGAATAGCTCCTTAGTTTTGACACCAGTAAGTTTCTTGATTTTGTTTGGCTCGACATAGGCTGTGATCTCAGTTGGTATAACTTGTTCAGATAGTTAAAATTCAAATTTGTGCTCAGTTTTCTTCTTCTGTTTGAGCCAAACAAAGCCTGTTTCTTTCACATAGCCACACTCTTCCATGTCTTGTAATGGCAAAAGGCCATTTGGCAACCCCATTTCTGTCAGCAAGAATTTTGATTTCACTTGACAGATATCATCTCCTTTGTACATTTCTGATGCACTTGCTCTTATCTCATCAGTAATTAAAGACATTTTTTTGGGTTTTCAACTTTGGTTTGATCAGTCAAGAAATGAGTTTTGTTTGCGGGATGCAATGGAGGAGATGGAAGTGGTGATAATATAGGCTGGAACCTAGAAATTTGCCCTCGGATTTGGTGTATAATTGCCAAAATACCTTGTTTTATTTGAAAAAATTGGGGACACAAACCTATCAGCTTTCTTATAGCCTAGTTGATGTTTGTATAAACCTACTTTTAGGGCATTAATTATTAAGAAATTCATAGTCGGTTGGACGAGGTTAAAAGTACCATGATACATGACTCAACCGCTAGACAACTGAAGAGCCGGTTGCCTAAGGTCCGAAGAGCCGTGCTATTAGGCCCAGCTCAAAGCCTAAGAAAAGGTGTTGCGATAGTCATGATTGGCACTTGCCTAAGGTCCCCAAATTAAGAAAAAAATAGTTTACAACTTTTAAATTGCTTGAGTCGCATCCTCGTACTCACTAGAAAACCTACCAAAATAAATACACATTATTTTCTACTGTTATTTCGGTCGAAGTAAGCAAGCCACGTGGGAAAATCTCTTTATTTTTGGGCATAATCTTGAAAATATAATCTCTCAGTTAAACAGTTCTTGCACCCAATGTACCAAGTTACAGGTAAATTACTGTATAATAATAGACTTGCATGCATTATTAGTGGTCTGCATTAACTTCTGCTACAAGAATTTAATAATACAGTTGAAGTATTTAAGAGGGAATTAAAGGAAGGGCACTGGTAGTTGGGAGTAGGCACAGTAGGGCCCACTATCTTTTCTGCTGGCCCAATACGTCCACGACACATCAGGCTACCCAAATGAGATG